ATATATATATATATATATATATATATATATGTATATATATATATGTTATATATCTATATCTATCTATCTATCTATTTATCTATCTATCTCTCCCCTCCTCTCCCCCGCTGTCAACGGCAGTCACGCTTGCTTGTGCTCGGTGATTTGGTAGTTTTTTCGAGAGTTAAAGGTCACAAACAGGTCTCCAAACATCACCTGTGAGTAAAGGAAGTTACAGTGATCGTCCTGACACGATATTGGGCTTAAGAAATTTTGTGTGGACTTAGAAAAAATTTGCATTGATATTTGAAAATCGTCCGCCCCACCCCCCTTCGAATCGTGTTGCCCGGTTTGCGCATGCGCACAACAAAGTCACGTGACCTTACCCAGCTCTCGACCCATCACCACGCTAACGAACTGTTGCCCCGCACCCCCCCCCCCCCCTCTACCTCAACGGCCACCCGCCTCGCTCCTCATCGCTGAGCCTGCGCGCGCCTCCCTTCTGCCGCGCTACCCTCTGCCCCTTCTGCTGCGCCTCCTGCCGCGCCACCTACCGCCCCTGCTGCTGTACTATCGAGTGTGCCAACAAACTTCTCCTGTGAGCCTCCTCTTCGCTGAGCCCTCGCTGCCTTTCCTCTCTGCTGCACTACCCTCTGCTCCTTCTGCTGCGCCTCCTGCCGCGCCACCTACTGCTCTATCCAGTGTGCCAACAAACTTCACCTGTGAACCAGGTGATACGAGCTCTGCTGCACGATGCCACCCAGTCGACCTTCTCCCATCAATTCGCCGTCCCTGACCCGCGCAGAAGTGAACGGTCTGATCGACCTACAGAGCAAGCTACTGGGCGAAGCCCTGGAGCGAATCCAGCGCGAGATGTCTCTCCAGAACGAGAACCTCAGCTCTCGCTTGGGCGAGGCAATTCGAAGTCTAGAGTTCGCCCACAAAGAAATCGAGGATCTCAAGGCACGGGAGGAGGCTGCAAGGCGTGGTGCCGAGGAACTGAAAGACCGCTTGAGTGCCCTGTCGAGGGAGAATGCCGACTTGAAGAGCGACCTGGCGAGAATGACGGAGCGGCTGGACTACCAGGACGACCAGGGACGTCGCAATAACCTACGATTCTCGGGCATCCCGGAGGAGCGCGGCGAGACCTGGGAGATGTGCCAGCGGAAACTATCAGACCTGCTGCGACAACACCTCCACATCACGCCCAAGATCGAACGCGCCCACCGTGTGGGGCGCCCAACTCACGATAGGCCCAGAGACATCGTGGCCAAATTCGCGAGTTTCGTGGATCGCGAGGCAGTGTTCAAGGGTAAAGCCAAGTTTAAGAATGCTCCTGGCAGGGTGTTCGTGAACGAAGACTTCTGCGCAGGCACCATCAAGGCCCGGAAGGATCAGCTGGAGCAGCTGAGGCAGGCGAGGAGCGAGGGCAAGAACGCCTTCTTCAGCTACAGGAAGCTGGTTGTAACCGAGCGCCAGCGTCCTCGCGCCCCTCCTGACTCAGCCCTCCCCATGCCGCCTCCAGGCACTGCCTTCGACCCACTACGGCTGCCCACTCCGCTGCAGTCCCGTCCTCGCCCCGCCTCGCTGTCTGACCAGCCGTCACCCCTGATGCAGCGCCCTTCGGGTCCTTGCTTTAACACCCCGCCACCCGCACGACACTCCTACTCGACGGTGCTGAGATCTCCTGTGGGAGCCACGGCCCTTGGCCCCCCACCCCTATTTAGTCCCGTCAGCCAGCGTCTGAGAAATAAGAAGTGATGCCGTTTCTGGTAATTTACAAATCTGTACCACGTACCTAACACATTTTATTAATTCAATATGGATTGTGCATTCACTTTTCCTTTCCAAGATCTGAATGATGATGCTTTATCGAATGTATTCACTTCCGATAATGTCGCCCAGGTTATTAGCTTAGAAGTACTAGAATCAAGATCATTTCATAACGTTAAAATCGACGCCTCTGATGACCGTTTTCATTCTTTTGATTCTCTAGGAGCAGATAATTTCGTATCTAATTTGCTTAACGTGATAAATCCAAATTGTTCTTACGTCTTTCCTGATTCTATTACTTCTAACAGTGCATCTATGACTCACTTGTCTATTATCAGCCATAACATATGTAGCCTACCCAATCATTTTGATGAATTTACTTTGCAATGTCTACATCCGAATAGTTTTGATGTGATAGGTTTCTCTGAAACTAGACTCACTCAAGACATTCAACACCTCTTCACACTCCCCGACTACCATGCATACTTCTCGCACCACTCTAGAAACAGCGGGGGCGTTGCCCTCTATGTTCATGACAGATTTTCCTCTCATGGTAGAGCTGACCTATCTTTCCAAGAAGATTTCATTGAGTCAGTTTTTACTGAAGTAACAATTAACAACGAGAGCTTACTGATTGGGCAATTGTATAGGCGCCCAAAAAGTAACTTCTCTCTTTTTCTGGAAAAGATTCAGCTAATAATCGAGACTGCCTCTCAAGAAAACAAGAAGTGTCTCATCAGTGGGGATTTTAACCTAGACCTCCTCAAGGCCGACTCTGATAACAAAGTCAGGGAAACCGTCTCCACCCTTAATTCTAGGCTCTTCTTCTCAGCAGTCACCAAGCCTACTAGAGTTCAAGGAAACTCTGCCTCCTTAATAGATCATATCTGGACAAATTTTTTACCAAAATTGAAAGCAAGTGGGGTTATATACTGCAACATATCAGATCATTTTCCTGTTTTTAGTACTTTTAACCTAGAATTACAACATAATGAACCTAAAACTGAGAAAACACTTTACTATCGCGACTATAAAGAATCCAATATAACCAATTTTAAAAGCCACCTTACAGAAGTATGTTGGGACCTCGTGTTTGCCTCTCACAATCCCGAGGTTGCCTATGACAATTTCATTAGTCTTTTTATCCCCTCCTTTGAAAGATTTTTCCCATTAAAATGTAAGTCACTAAAATCAAAGTCCTTTAAGAAACCATACATTACATGTGAAATAAGAAATTTAATCAAAGAAAAAAACAAACTTCAAAAGAAATATGCAAAGTGGCCACTCTCCTACGGCGAGACATTTCGGTCTCTTCGCAACCGCTTAAAACTAACAATTCGGAAGGCAAAGGCAGATCATTACAAAATGAAGCTTGATCAAAGTGCAGGTGACACTAAGAAGACATGGCAAATTCTTAATGATGTTCTTCACAGGAATAATAAACAAAAAGCTGACAAAGTACTAATAGATGAGAAAGAAATCAATGACCCAAACGTCATTACAAATGAATTTAACAAATATTTTACAAACATAGGCGAAAATCTGTCACGATTAACCCCTAATGTGGATGGAGACTTTAAAGAATTTCTCGGGCCCTCCAACAACAACCACATGAGCCTGACTCCGATAACAGACAGAGACATCATCAATGTTGTTAATGGCCTTAAAACTTCCTCTCCAGGGGACGACTGCATTCCCATCAACATTATTAAGAAAATACTTCCTTGCATTCTCAAGCCCCTGAAACATGTAATCACTAAATCATTTAGCATGGGAGTATTTCCCACGAAACTTAAGATTGCCAAAGTTCATCCCATGTTCAAGACTGGCACCCCTTGCCTTAATAATTATCGCCCAATTTCCATACTAACAGCTTTTAGCAAAATCTTTGAAAAAAATCATGTCCATTAGATTAACTGATTTTCTTTATGCAAATGATATAATCAACAATTGTCAGTATGGTTTCTTGAAGAACAAATCATCTGAATTAGCGGTTCAGACTTCACAAATGAAACTTTAAAATCTTTTGATGGTCGTAAATTTACTCTTGCTATATTTTTAGACCTTTCCAAAGCATTCGATACGGTTAACCATCGAATTCTTTTGGAAAAATTATACCATTATGGTATAAAAGGGAGTGTACATGCTTGGTTCGCTTCGTATCTGTCAAACCGCACACAGTATGTAGTTTTCAATGACTGCAACTCCTCTAAAAGAACTATCGCTCATGGAGTCCCACAGGGCTCCA